CGCTGGTCATTTCATTATATGTGGTTAATAATACATTATATAGGGTGAATATTTCATTATATTTGATTGAATTTTTTATTATATGTGGTGAATATTTCATTATATTTGATTGCATTTTTTATTATATGTGGTGAATATTTCATAGTATGCGATGCCTATTTCATTTTATGCGGTGGTCATTTCATTTTGTGTATTTGCTTCTATATTTCATTTGATGTGATGACGATTTCATTTGAAATGGTGGTTATTTCATTATATGTGGTATCAATTTCACTTTTATTGGTCATCGGTATACACAGCGAGGATGTGCCATACCGTGAGAGACATCCCTGGTTATACATTGTTTATACTTAACAGTAACAAATATGACCTGTGTATTTCGTTAAGACATTATCATATTCTTATTCCATTAAAACTATCCGCTTCAGAAAATATGAAAAGGGAACGGGGGCTTTTGTAAGTCTAGGAACGGAGTATAATTGACTGTGTAATGTCGAATGTTGACGCATTATGAGCTCAAGACTTGCACAAGTCCCAGATATCCTATTTGTCTGGTCGGTGGGATATACATATACATGTGAACATCGGATAGTGAAAGAAGCAGCAGCATCTTTGAGCGAGGGAATGAGTGACGGGTTCAGGTAGACTATGAGAGAAAGATTTGGTTTAGTATTGTTTAACGTCCTATCAACAGCTATGGTCATTTAAGGACGACCTCCCTTGTATGCAAGATGCATGCGTGTAGTGTATGCGTGTGTGTTTTGGGAGGCTGCGATATGTTCGTGTTTGTCTCCTTCTGACATCCTCGATATCCAGGGGTTACGCTCACTTTCACTCTCTACACAGCAAAAGTGAGCATAACCCCTGGATATCGAGGAGGCATTGTGATAGCGCGGAACTGATGCCGACTTTATAGTGCTACCTCACTGAAACATACTGACGAAGACACCAAGCAGGACACACCCGGTCACATTAAACTGACAACGGGCGAACCAGTCGTCCCACTCCTAAATTGCTGAGCGTTAAGCAGGAGTAGAAACTACCACTTTTATAGACTCTGGTGTGTCTCGGCCAGGTGACAGAACCTAAGCCTTTCTCACAGGGGCGAACCCTCAACTAAAGGCCAGAAGTAAGGCATTGACAAAGGAGACATTAGGACGAAGAAAACATTTTAAAAGAAGAGAAAAGATAAGATCCCAAATTTAGTCGCCTCTTACGATCATGCAATGGGGACAGCAGATACAATTCGTACGCCCTACCTGCAGGGACAAGAGAAAAGAAAGGTGTGCGACGTATGGATCTAAATGTGATCAGAAAAGAAGTTGGAATGAAGAATTTAGAGGGAGCCTGGAAAAAACGTACGATTAATAGAATCTTCCTCTACCTTGAGGGTGTGACAGAGAAATCTCCAACCCGAGGGGTGATGTTTTTGGTTGTCTTACCCGAGGCTCTTCCGAGGGTTAGACAACCAAAAAACACATCAAGGGTTGGAGATTTCTCTGTTACACCCTCAAGATAGGGGATGATTATTTTTTCCCATCCTATTATTTCAGTCACAACTCCACAGACAATAGTCTGCCATGTTTGTAAACAAAAATACATGTGGGGTATGTATATCGTCATTCTCTTTTGATGACGTCACAATTACGGATGACGCATTTTAATGACGTCACAATTGAACACGTGCTAATCGGCACGAGGCTATCCCCCCTAGAGGGTGACAAGCTAATATTTCCCGGCTAAAACGGGAGACACACATGTGAAGGGTGGAAAAAAACTATTAGTGAAGGAAGAGTAAGGGGCGGAAGCATAGGGAAAGATGAAGAGGACGCAAAGATGGACAGAGTGACACAGGGAAAGATAAAGGAAATCGAAGTGAATGTGATAGTGTGGAACGGTTGGAGAAGAGCTAGAAAGGAATATAGGTTTTATCAGGTGCGAGGCTATTATATATTGATCATGTAAAGCTTCTCTGTTAAGTTGTATGTGCTTAAATGAAGTATTGAGGTCCACCTGTGAGAATAATACACATAAAACACATATCGATGACTTCTCTTTACGAAATGAAATTGAGTGCTTGATCATACGGGTACTTTATCTTTCTAATCCGGAAATATGAAATTCAGGCTCGTGTTGGTGATAATGCTTTTGCTTGGAAAACGAGTCACCGTTTAAGCCGTGAGTTTTGATTTACTAGGTTCGCATTAATGTAAAATTAATGTGAAAAGCGTGTATATGCAGCCATGCAGGGAAAGTTAATTTCTGTGATATTTACGCGATACGCTTCTAATCGAAATTCCATCAATGCAATTAATTTGTGTACGAGATTTGCTTTCCGTACATAAAGAAAGCTAAAATTGAAAACGAAATACTAAATACTAAATACGGATTCTACAGTGAAACAGTTTTCGGCTTGAGGCCAGCTGAGGGCCAATGATAAACGCTGGTGCTTTAAATTATGAGAATTTGACTGTTTACGCAAGTGTTTTGGCCAATGGGAGGATTGACTCGAACTGTTGCTAGTAATTTGCATTGTATAACATTTAGGAAGCATTTTATCGTTGATGTTTTTTAATGATAATGTCGTAAACAGCCCAATCCTGTTCCACTAACTCGGATTGAAGTCTTATTCATCATGATCTATACAGTAGGTAGGGATTATTAGATGATATTTTGATATAAATGAATTCTTTTTTAAGATTGATGCGTCAAATGCACACCTGTTCATCACAGGGACTCGAGTATGTATTCCAATGGAATGAATATATAACTCTGATATATATCATCCGGACATTTTAGTTAACATCGTGAATAACACGGACGGCAAGGTTGAGTTAGGTGTGTCGTACTGGTCTGATCATAGTACGACCCTCTGATGTACGTAGCCGTATAGTAAACATTGATTGAATTACCCGATGTTTCCGTATCATATACAGAGTATCTAAAGAGGCAGATAGTACGGTATCTTTAAATGGTATTAGTGTCCCTTTAAACAAGAATTATCATAAAGTTTAATATTTGTGTTTGATGTGTATTGGAGACTGGAGACGTCATACTGCGCTTTAAACCGAATTAGAGCAGGCTCAATACGAAACACGCGATATTAGCACAGGCGCTTTGACAAGGGCCATAACCCGGTCAAACATGTCATATCCGCACAGGCGCTTTGACAAGGGTCATAACCCGGTCAAACATGGCATATCCGCACAGGCTTCACAATGGACGCACCCACTCAATGACGTCATTCTCGCACAAGAGCTCTGACAAGGGCTGTTACTCGGTAAAACATTTTTCACTAGCACAGACGTTTTCAGAATGAAAACAATTCACCCAATGACGTCAAACTTGCACAGGGGTGTTGGCAAGGGCCGTAACCCACTTTATCACGTCATGCATGTACCAGCAAGTAACCTACACCGTGACGTCAAATTAGCACAGCAAGTCACCCACACCGTGACGTCAAATTAGCACAGGCGTTTAGACATGGTGGCTAAGCCGGTCTAAGTTTTCTTCTATATGTACTAGGGACGAACAATAAGACTACTAGCTAAATGGCTTCGAGAATGGACGTTACCGAGTCTGGACTGATCCTTGTCTACGGGCCGTGACCCGGTCTACCGCTCTACTGCCTACTTTATATAGGTTGTCAAGAGGAGCAGCTGTGAGTAACATAATCAGACAGCTATGTTTTGTGAAAGTATGACGTCAAAATAAGCTGTTCAGAATGATTTCATATTTTCCATATTTAGAGTCCTCTCTCCATCCGCCTCCTCAAGTCCACTGCCGTTTAGCTGCCCCCTCCGCAACTGACAATAGCTGATATAATCCCTATGGTTCTCACCTCAGTTTTAACCCTTCTCCCATCCTGTAACTCTCTCCCCATTCACTCCCGGGACACCCGTAGAAATAGCATCCCATAATAATCTACTGTCTAATCGCAGATAAACATGTTCTCGGTCAGAACCACACCTATACCTATACCAAAATCCAACATCTCCTTATCACAACGTCGCAATCCAGGAGTTACGCTCACCTGTACGGTCCAGAGCGTAAATCCTGGAGTTACGCTCACCTGTACGGTTCAGAGCGTAAATACAGGAGTTACGCTCACCTGTACGGTCCAGAGCGTAAATACTGGAGTTACGCTCACCTGTACGGTCCAGGGCGTAAATCCAGGAGTTACGCGCACCTGTACGGTCCAGACCGTAAATCCTGGAGTGACGCTCACCTGTACGGTCCAGAGCGTAAATACAGAAGTTACGCTCACCTGTACGGTCCAGAGCGTAAATACAGGAGTTCCGCTCACCTGTACGGTCCAGGGCGTAAATCCAGGAGTTACGTTCACCTGTACGGTCCAGAGCGTAAATCCTGGAGTTACGCTCACCTGTACGGTCCAGGGCGTAAATCCAGGAGCTACGCTCACCTGTACGGTCCAGAGCGTAAATACAGGAGTTATGCTCACCTGTACGGTCCAAAGTGTAAATACAGGAGTTACGCTCACCTGTACGGTCCAGGGCGTAAATCCAGGAGCTACGCTCACCTGTACGGTCCAGAGCGTAAATACAGAAGTTACGCTCACCTGTACGGTCCAGGGCGTAAATCCTGGAGTTATAATCATGTTCATATCACAATATTAGCGTTTTTGTTTCAACTGTCCAGCCTCTGCTGAATTCTACTGACGATATTGATCAGTATACGTATTGTACGTACCATATGTATTGTAATGTCTGCAAATGTACGTCAAGTTAGGGACCTAGGGTCCGGCTCACACGAACGTTTCTGTTATAAGGCATTAAGGGCCACGGAGGGCTGGGGATCTAGAATTCTAGAATTTAACAGAATAAGGCAAGTTGATAGGACGTAAGGTGTAGTATTCTTACCTTCACATGTCATCAGATTGACTCCGAATTTATGGAATGTTTTCTTGTCATGGGTTGTATGTATCAATGTATACCAGTTACTATCATAGGAATTTATCCTTAATACATATAGATACATACCTTCACATTTCATCGGAATATTCCCACACCACATACACATATATATATATATCCTCTTCACTAATAGTGCACTAACTGATTACACAAATGCTGTGTTATTGTGTGTCACATATGTGTTGGTTACATGTATACACAGAGGATACACCGTTATACACTGTCGGGGTACACGCCTCACTGGAGCCCCACTACAGTTCTATACGCTGTCATTGACACTTCATTAGATCTAGGGGCCACATTGAAGCGACATGCCGCTACTTTGATCAATTTACGGCACTCCAGGCGTGCCATATATATCGCTCGTTTACTTTTAATTCATAATTATGTACATATATGTAATACTTTTACGGTCTATAACGATAGGGGAAGAGTGAGTGTCTCGTAAGTCTAACATAGACTGGATGTAAGGGTGGATGAGTAGACATATTTTAGAGATTGTAATACTTGTACCTTTTACATGTGACACTATAATAAACTAATATGAATTGAATTGAATTGTTTAACATACCACCGTGATGTCTCTGTAACACCGTATATAGACTAGCTATCAGGGCCCGTATTCACGAAACTGTTTTCATGCCCAAACCTTGATTCTGTGCTCAAACCCAGAATATTGAGCCAGTGTGACGATTTAATAAAAATCCTATTTTGTCCTATTATGTTATGCAAGAAATTTGGAAAGAGATTTGGCTCAATACTCTTTCCAATGTTCACACTTGACTTTTGATCCAGTTAATTTGAGCACAGAACAGTTCATGAATATGGGCCCAGCTATTACGTTATTGTAAATTGTCAAGCTGAATTCTTCGAAGAGATCATCTCCCCCTTGTTTGCAATTATCGACCAGACATACAAAAAGTCAAAATCATTAAAGTCTCATTTTGTCTTCCAGTGACTGGGGCCAATCTTAAGCAAGAATCTCCTTTCCCAAAAGAGTTCCGTACCGAAACCTTTTACAACGTGTTATATTAATGATTATTAAAACCTAATCATAAATTGATGACGTATATGTGCTGTATATAATTGGCAAATCAAAATGATTACAGTGAGACAATGAGATTATTCTGAACGACAAGCTAAAACTAATTTATTTTTAGGTAAGGGAGATAACTCTTGTGCTGAGACACTATATCAACCTTAAGGGTATATGATACATTTGTATATGTACTTCAATAATATTTTCAAAAAAAAAACAATAAAAAAAATATCAAATTTATTTTAAGAAAAATACTTCTTGGATTTTTTTTATTATTTATTACATGGTAAATGACACAATGAATTCCTACAATTTATAATGATTGAGAAAGATAACCATCTTCAGTGAGGTAGTTATTATACATGGAATAATCTAAAAAAAATGGCGATTTAGACACACGTGCATCTAGCTTTTTTTTTCTCTTATACTTATTTTAAATATACGGATAATTCAATCAGAGGCAGATTTCGAGTCCGAATTCCTTCCATTCATCTTCAATTTTATTGAGAGGGGGCATGAATTGGATGTGAGCAGAGCGTAAGCTACACTTGATGAAGTCCAGTATCATTTGTGAGTTTTCCTCCAACGGCAGAGCAAATTAGGCTTGGAATCTCAAAGGAACCAGCAAGTTATTGACGTGTCCTGGGTTCGAATCCAAGTTTGACAATTGCATATTTCCGTGCTATAACGAAAGGTTGGATTAATGTTTTGGTAAATGGAGGGAGGCAATTTATACAGAAAGGGGTTAAACTAGGCGGTATCCTCAAGATGCGAGGATGTAAGGTAAAAGTCTAATTGCACCTTTATTTTAATTTTAATTTTGTTGTTACCTATATGTGCCTCTTGGTGCGTTTACAGTTACCAATCCTCTACCGTGTGGGCCTGTGTGATCCTATTTTGTTGACGTGTGCTTCACACACATTTGTCGCAAATAATTTAATAAACGGACAACGGACGCTCTTCTAACTGAATTACCCGTTGACCTGCGATCGAACCAATCAGGAGTGCGCCATGTTTTCCTACTAGTACATGAAGTGGTAACATTGAATATCTCTGGTACATCAATATGCATGGTAACCTAACTAAACCGCACACGTCCTTCCATCCCGTATCGCCCGCATAGTGCCCCATCCCCTACCACTCTTTATTCGCCCCCGACCCCAACCCCCGAGGAACATCCGGAAGATATTTAAAATTTAAAATCCGAATTTCCCAAATATAATATAGTCATACCAATCGACCGGCGTTTCTCGCTTCTTCGCCCTTCCATATATATAAACACCCATGAACTCTAATTTGAGAGCACCCTGATATTTAAATGTTGATTATACAAAGATAATATTGACATATTTCTTGTCTTTGTTCCCTGTTGTGTAGCGAATGTGTACATACTAGAGGTATAAGCACCACTGACCCTATCAGATTTCAAAGTCTGTTGTAAGACTTTAAATTGTAACAATGAATGATATATATATATATTTTTTAAGTTATGTTTGGGCACATATACCAACTTTCAATTGAAATACCGACGTTCGTTACACCAGGGAACTAGTCTCCGTTATATTTGTATTTGTAATAGAGTTGTACATGTTGCTGCCTGTACGCATATTGAAATGGCCAGATTTATATTTTCGATTTTGATGTTCAGAAAACAAGCATACGTTGGTGTTTGAAAATCACAACAAAAATCACGTATGAAAGATTTTTTTCTTCTTTTTTTGGGGGGGGGGGGGATTATGTGTTGTGTTATAATTTTATAAAGCGCCTCGCTCAATCCAGGTTTTTTCATGGACCCCATATATTTCCGTATACCCCCTGCAAGTGACTATGTAACTAATAATGTCCTATTAACAGGTACGATCATTTGAGGCCGTGCAGGCGTGTATGTGTGCTGGAGACAGGGTAAGTTGGTGTAATTGTCTTCTTGTAATAGCGCGGCTCTGATGCCGACTTTATAGTGCTATCTCGCTTAAATACCATAATGAGAGAGGTAGGGGTTGAATGTAAAATTAAACAAAATACTCGAGTTAATTATGGAGTTTGGAATACTTTCACTTTGTTACTTGATTGATATGATGTTTTCTTCACATTGTTATTAATATTTAGGTTTAAAAGTTGAAACAATAGAGCTTCTAGGTTACATACGTCACCGTTAGTATTTCCTAAAGAGTACCATTCCACTGAACCCCAGTCTATAATCTATTTTGATGGTGTACTTAAAGTTGGTGTTTTTTATTTTGTTTTAAGGTAATGCCTATTAATTTAGGGAAGATAACTCTAACATAATCACATCAAAAGGTGTATAGTAGCATAACCTCTATTGGAAAGGAGTCGCGTGGTGTCAAAATAAGGTAGCATGCACCCTTAAGTTTAAATCTCTGCTAATCAGATGGATGCGTAAGTAAGTTCTTGTCTGCACGAGTGGAAACTATAGAGCTACTTAAGATAAAATCAATACATAGTTTTCTTCAGTGTAAATAAAGGGTCTGGCTAGATACAAACGCACAGCACGATATTTTGTAATCTATTAAACTACAGGTACATGTTTCATAAGAGTTCGGTTAGTTTACGCGTATAATGCACAAGTAGATGAACCCATGAAGGTCACATTCTGCCTGATATACTTGAACGACAATAAATACGATTAAACTGTTGAATTTTTTATCATAAAACTGTTCTCAAATGTTTACCATCAGATTTTCGTATCAATCGAATCGATGTTAAAATAATACTAATTTTAGTAATTTATTAATTTTTCAAATGACAATTTTTTTCCGTACATTACTGCAGTACCATACGGTGAATGGTACAATTAAATTGGAGGTTTATGTTTGTGGGGACTTACAATTTGTATATTTACGTTTGACTATGATATTTAACAAGGAATCAGTAATTTCCACTCAAATTGTGCTTGATTTCATATTGTACAAGTTTAACGAAAATCGTTCGGAAGTTGTGAAACACCACGTCAAAGTCTTGCTCTAAGTATGTTTTTGTCCAGACTCGCATCTATATATTTATTATCTATTCTTTGATTTAATGACCCGTACGTAATCAAACCACATAAATAATACGGTTAGTCGGTCAATACCAGGGATGAAAAATCAAAAACGTCAACAGATTAAGTGAAGAATAATGTATATGTATAAATGTATGTTAAAAGTTTGACAAGAAACATAACGACATTTGCAGGAAATACCTACTACACTTCCGGTTCCGGTGTACCTGTTTTCGCCCATGATCATTGTGCGATTACCGAGTGAAATCCTTTAGTATAAACATATTTTATTTGAAAAATTCAAAAGGAATTAAACGCAAGTTATTACAACTTAAAAACGTCATTTTCCATTAAACAATTACATAATGGCATCAAATAATGCAATGGGCAGCATAATATATACAATAGTATAGATACATAAAAATAACATCGAATGTACACAGATGGAAATACATATTATTTACATACCAATACCTACTTCAGTGTCTTTTACATGATATGCAATTACAGTTTCAATATTGTCGTAATAAAACAAGCATTGGCATAGCAATGTGTTGATTTTTATCACATCGAATAATTGCGTTATGGTGTATTATATATGTATGTTAGAATAACAGACGGAATATGAAATAGTTGGGAATAGTAAAATGTATAGATATTATTCTCTTTATTTCCTCCTTTAAGAAGATTTTACAAACAGAATAATGTAGTTACAATGATAAGTTAGATAATAAATGCAAAATCAAATAGATGGTAAGGTAAAATTAGTGCACAACGTAATAAGTTAACACAATAGGAATAGGTTAATCAATTTGAGTACAGTTTACAAAAGAATACATTATTAATAATGTTAAGAATAATATACACAAAAGTATTGAATAATCATTCGAAGTATGCATTAATGGCCTTTCTCTTTCTCTCGTATTAACATAATTATTCAAGCTTCGTTATCCTTCTGTCTTAATCAATATGATATCCAGATCAATACAAATACCATATCTAGGTCAGCAGTACAGTTATATAGGTGTAAAGTGTTTATTTGACGATAGTCTCAACAGGAAGTGGTTTGTTTTCCGGAGATTCCGGAGAAAAACCACCGACCTACGGCCATTACCTGGCGACCCATTACCTGCAATCGCAACTTCTCGGCCAATTCCGGCTAGGCGCGGAATCATACGATTGCCATTACCTGCCGACTGCACCACGTAGGCCTTGAACACGCGACCCAGTGG